TCTCGTTGTTCCCCCAGATACAAACAAAAAGAAACCCAAAACGACGTGAGGTGCTGAAGTTATTTCAGACTCACTTACGAAACATCCAACGACATTAACCCCTGAAGACATCCTACCAGACTGAGGTGCTGAAGTTATTTCAGACTCACTTACGAAACATCCAACTACATTAACCCCTGAAGACATCAAACCAGACTGATCTCTGAAACGGACACTTGTATCTAACCTACACAAAATGGTGTACGGTTCCCCACCATTGGACTTGAATGCGTGACCTTTGTGACCTTTGTGACCTTTGTGACCTTTGTGACCTTTGCCCTGACCATGAGTAGCTACGCACTGACTGTCAGCCCGTCCCACGAGCATCACCACCACCACCATCCTCTGCACCACTTCAACAGCAGCAACAACAACAGCAGCAACAACAACAACAGCAACAACAACAGCAGCAGCGGCGTTGGTGGTGGTAACGTCGGCGTCGGCGGCAGCGGTGGCGTCAGCAACAACTACTACTACCACCACCCCCACCACCAGTACTACCCGCACTACTTCTACCAGTTCCCTAGCAACTTCGACAAACTCCATCCGGCATATCACCACGCCGGACTAATTCCCGGAAGTGACGTCAGCTCGGACCTAACGGGATCTCTTGTCGACGGAAGCGAGCTTATCAACAGTGGCAACAATCACCATAGCAACAATGTAAACGGAAAGGGTAGTTTTTCCGTCAGCCATTTGCTAGATTTAAAGAAAAACCACGGAGTTCTGACTGCTGGCAGCGATAACTGTAACAGTAGCATAGGGAGTGTTGAGGACGCGCAGGAGAACGGGGACGAGTCGGATCAGAATATTGATCAAAAAGGGAATATCCCTTGCATCATTGAAAGCAATAACAACAGGAATAAAAGTAGCAGTGGTGGAATCAGTGGATCTAATCAGAAGAACGGCGACTCTTTTGTGAATAGCAGCAACACTAGGAACAGCGACAACAACAACAGCAGCAACAGCAGCAACAGCAGCAACAGCAGCAGTAGGGGCAACGGAGGTGGTGGTGGGGGCGGCGCTGAAAACAACAGCAATAATAATAACAATAGCGGCAACGGCATTGCTAATAACAGCAATAACAACAACAACAACAACAGCAACAACAATAGTAGTAGTATCAATAACAGTAACAACAACAGCAGCACTAAGAGCAACAACGACGACGACAACGTCGACGACTGCGCGTCTCCCAAACACAAAGCGAGCATGTACGCCTCTGGAGGAGCGGCCGACATGTCCTCCAACCCGCTCCACCCCCCACCGCCCCACCATCACCACCACCACCAGCAACACCACCACCAGCACCACCACCAGCTCACCGCCATGTCCCATTCTGGGAACCCGGGCCTCACCCCTGGAAACGTCCACCACACCAGCCACGGGATCTACCAAAATCTGGAGACGCCACCCGCGGGCTCTCGCGAGCTCACCACGCTAACCACCGCTGGCACCCCGCCCAGCCCACGAGGGGCAGGAGTTCGGACCCCGGATCATTCACCCAGCATGCTGATATCTCCGGAAAAGTTTATGCCTGGAGTTGTGGCCCCTGTTGATATGGGAGGACACGAGGTCAATAATGGTGAGTACCAGTACAATTTGCGTGTTCTTTCAGTCTCTCTGCCTCTCTCTGTCTCTGTCTCTCTCTCGCTCTCTCGCTGTCTCTGTCTCTGTCTCGCTCACTCGCTGTCTCTGTCTCTGTCTCTGTCTCTGTCTCTGTCTCTGTCTCTCTCTCTCTCTCTCTCTCTCTCTCTCTCTCTT